TTTAATTTGCATTTCTCTAATGACTAAGGATGATGAACATTTTTTCATGTATTTATTTGCCATTTGTATTTCTTCATCTGAGAATTGTGTATTCATCTCAGATGCCCACTTTTGGATTGGGTCTTTGAAGTTTGGGGGTCTGATTTTTTAAAATTCTTTGTATGTTTTAGACAGAAGTCCTTTGTCTGAGGGGCAGTTCACTAAGATTTTTTTCCAGGTTGTGGGTTTTCTTTTCACTATGCTGGAGATTTCTTTTGACATGCAGAAACTTTTAAATAAGAGGTGATCCCAGTTATTGATTCTGGGAAGTATTTTCCGTGCGTTTTGAGTCCTGTTCATGAATTCTCTACCTACTCCTATGTCTTCAAGGTTTTTACCCAATTTGTCTTCCAATAGATATAGTGTTTCTGTTTAACATTCAGATCTTTGATCCATTTAGATTTTATTTTAGTGCATGATGATAGGCATGGGTCTAGTTTTAGTTTTCGGCATACAGAGAGTCAGTTTTTCCAACACCATTTATTAAAAAGACTGTCATTCTTCCAGTGAACATGTTTGGCCCCTTTATCAAAGATAAGGTGGTTGAGTGTGTTTGTAGTTGTGGTTGTATCTTCTAATCTATTCCACTGATCTTCGGCTCTGTTTTGGTTCCAGTACCATGTTGATTTTACTACAGTTGCTTTGTGGTATAACTTCAAGTCAGAGATTGTGATGCCTGCTGCCTTGCCTTTGCTGCTTAGAACTGTCTTTGCTATTCTAGGTCTCTTCTCGTTCCAGATGAATTTTAAGAGTGATTTCTTGAGATCTATAAGGTATGTTGATGGTGTTTTTATCAGGATTACATTGAATTTGTATAACAGTTTTGGGAGAATGGCCATTTTCACAATATTTATTCTTCCTATCCATGAGCAAGGGATGTCTTTCCATTTTCTGAGATCATCTTCAATTTCATTTTTCAGTGTATTATAATTTTCCCTGTATAGCTGTTTCACTTCTTTTGTGAGAGTAATTCCTAGATATTTCATTTTTTTGGTTGCTAGTGTGAAGGGTGTGGCTTCTCTTATTTCTCTCTCTGTGATTATCTTGTTAGTATAGAGGAATGCTATTGATTTTTGAGTGCTGATTTTGTATCCAGCCACAGTGCTGAATTTATTTATTATATCTAGGAGTCTTTCAATGAAGTTTTGGGGGTCTTCTATGTAGAGTATCATGTCATCTGAAAATAATGATAATTTAACTTCTTTTCCTATCTTTACCCCTTTTATTTTTCTCTCTTGTCTAATTTCTCTGGCTAGTATTTCCAGTACTATATTAAATAGGAGCAGTGATAAGGGACATCCTTATCTTGTGCCTGATTTTAAAGTAAACGCCTTCATTTTTGGCCATTTAGTATGATATTGGCTGTTGGTTTGTCATAGGCGACCTTTATTATATTGAGGTAAAGATCGTCTATTCCAATATTCTGCAAGGCTCTTATCATAAATGAATGTTGGACCTTATCAAAAGCTTTTTCTGCATCTATAGAAATGATCATGTGATTCTTACTTTTGGTTTTATTGATGTGGTGGATTACATTTATTGATTTACGTGTGGTGAACCATCCCTGCATGCCTGGGATGAATCCCACTTGGTCATGGTATATAATCTTCTTGATGATTTGCTGCATCCTATTTGCCAATATTTTATTGAGGATTTTTGCATCTGTCTTCATTAGGGAGATTGCTCTGTAGTTCTCTCTTTCAGGTTTAGTACTAGAGTAATATTTGCTTCCAGGTTTTGGTACTAGAGTAATATTTGCTTCTCAGGTTTTGGTACCAGAATATTATTTCCTTCTCAGGTTTTGGTACTAGAGTAATATTTGCTTCCAAGAATGACTTAAGAAGGATTGCTTCACTTTCAATTTCACTGAAGAGTTTGAGGAATGTTGGTGTTAGTTCTTCTTTGTATTTCTTGTAGAATTCTGCAGTGAATCCATCTGGGCCTGGGCTCTTCTTTGTAGGTAAGGACTTAATTACGTTTTCAATTTCATTAATAGAAGTTGGGTTATTCAGCAGTTTTACATCCTCTTGACCTAGCTTTGGTAATTAGTATGTTTCTAGGAATCTGTCCAATTCTTCTGTGTTATCAAACCTTTGAGAGTAGAGGTTTTCAAAATAAGTGTTGATGATCTTCTGTAACTCTAAAGGGTCTGTAGTGATTTCACCTTTTTCATTCCTTATTGCATGAATTTGAGCTTTCTCTTCCCTTTTTAAATAAGGTTGGCTAGGGCCTTATCGATTTTTTTCTTTTAAAGAACCAATTCTTTGATTCATTGATTTTTTTTGGATTGTTTTCTTAGTCTCTATTGCGTTGATTTCTGTTCTGATTTGTATAATTTCTTCTTTTGGCTTTGGGCTTGAGTTGCTTTTCTTTTTCTAGATGTTTGAGGTGTAACATCCGGTTATTTATCTGTATTCGTTTTGTTTTCCTGATGTGGGAACTTGGTGCAATAAATTTTCCTCTGAGGACAGCTTTCATTGCATCCCACAGATTCCGGTAAGTTGTATTTGTGTTTTCATTTGTTTGTAGGTATTGTTTCATTTCTTCTTTAATTTCCTCTGTGACCCACTGATTTCTCAAGAGTGTGTTATTCAGTTTCCATGTGTTTGTGGGATTTTTGCAGTATTTTTTATCATTAATTTCTAATTTAATAGCACTATGATCTGATAACATGCAAGGGATAATTTCAACTCTTTTGCATTTATTTAAATATGTTCTGTGAGTTAATATATGGTCTGTTTTAGAGAATGACCCATGTGCTGCTGAAAAGAATGTGTATTCTGATGTTGTTGGATGGAACACTCTGTATATGTCTATCAAGTCCATTTGTTCACAGGTGCAATTCAGTTCTTTTATTTCTTTGCTGATTTTCTGTCTGGTTGATCTGTCCATTGGTGTCAATGGTGTGTTAAGATCTCCTGTTATAATTGTATTACTGCTAATTTGGTTTTTTATTTCTGTTAATACTTGTTTTATATAACTGGGTGCTCTGGAATTTGGTGCATATATATTTAAGATAGTTATCTCTTCCTCTTAAAGTTTCCCCTAACCAGTATGTAGTGATCTTCTTTGTCTGTTCTGATCATTATTGGTTTGAAGTTCACATTGTGTGCAAACAGAATAGCTACCCCCACTTTTTGTTCGGTTCCTGTTGCATGAAGTATTGTTTTCCATCCTTCGACTTTCAGTCTGTGAGTATCCTTTTGGGTTATTTAAATGGGTTTCTTGTAGACAGCATACAGTTGAATTTTGTTTCTTCATCCATTCTGCCAGTCTGTTTCTTTTAATTGGTGCATTGAGACCATTTACATTAATGGTTATAACTGTTATATGTTGGTTTATTGTTAGCATGTTATCTTTCTGCTGGTGCAACTTTACCTTTCTGTTCTGTTTAATTGTCTGCTTTGTTTAGTGGTATTTTCCTAAGTGTATCTAAACTGTCTTTCAGTATTCTTTGCAGGGTTGGCTTGGTGATCATGAAGTTCTTCAGCTGTTCTTTGTCATAGAAGTATCTTATTTCCCCATCGATTTTTTCTTTTTTCTTTTTTCTTTTTTTTACCGGTACTGGGGATTAAACTCATGACCGCCTGCTTGCCAGGCAGGTGCTTATCCCGCTGAGCTAAATCCCCAGCCCCTCTCCATCGATTTTGAAGGACAGTTTTTTAGTATATATCAGTCTAGGTTGGAAATCACTTTCCTTTAGGATCTGAAATACTTCACTCCATGCTCTGCTTGACTTTATTGTTTGTGCTGAGAAGTCTGCTGTGATTCTGATAGGTTTTCCTTTATAGGTGATCTGTCTTTTCTCTCTGACAGCTTTTAATATTCTATTCTTTTTTTCAATTTCTGGGATGTGATTATTATATGTCTGGGTGTAGTTTTATTTTGGTTATGGCTATTTGGAGTTCTGTATGCTTCATTGATCTTGATATCAGTTTTCAATCTCATGTTTGGGAAATTTTCAGCTATTCTCTAAATATCCTCTTGACGTCCTTTATGTTGTCCCCTTCATTTTCATTTATCCCTATCAACCTTATGTTGTTTTTCTTTGCATCATCTTGCCAGTGTTGAATTATTATTTCCTGATTTCTTGTTATTTTTAAATGATCTTTCCTGTTCACTGGCTGCAATCTTGTTTTTGAGGTCTGAAATTCTATTTTCACATGCATTGAGGTGGTTTTTACGGCTTTCAATGGAATTTTTGATTTCCTGTATATCTCTTTGCATCTGCTTTATATATTCTGTTTGTTTCTTACATTGTTCATCCAGGGTTTCTATCTTTTTGTTTAGTTTCTCCAGTTTTTTAACTGTGTCTTCTTTAGATATGTTCAGCATCTCCATTTCTTTTATCATTTTTTCTTTTACCTGAGAGATTATTTCTAGTTTGAATTCCTTTAAAGCTTCCCGGAGTTGCTTCTTTATTTCCGTTATTATTATTTCAGGTATTTCAGGCATATGGCATGTATTTTCTTCCATGTACATGGCTCCTTGGCTTTCTTGGGATGGGCTGGATATTTAAGACTGCATTTTGGTCTTTTGTTTCGTCATTTTCCTTTATTTCCGTGTTTCAAGTGTTATTCCAAAGCTCCCCCTGGACATGTTGGAAATTGTCTATGTCCTGGGCTCCTGGGACTCCTCTGGTAGTGTAGCTCCCTCCTTAGGTATTGAGGCTCCCAGATTAAAAGTAAATTGCCAGGTTCCTGTCAGGTAGACCTAAAGCCTCCTCCAGCCACACAGCTCCCCCGTCTGGCAGCAAAGCTCCCCTGAGGGAAAGAAGGCCTCCTGATGTGGTCCAGGGAATCCCAAATCCCACTAAGCCCAATCTAGTGTGGCCACAAGCCCCTAAAGCAAGGATCTCATACTCTCCCAGGGATTGGATTGGTGTTACCATCCAGCTACTTGGATGGCAAAGCTCCCCAGGCTGATAGAAGGTCCCCTTATGGCCTAAGTAGGCCTCAAACCTCTTCAGCAGGGCTGCTGCCTCCTCCAGGTGGTGGCAGTAGTGCTGGTGCTGTCCAGGTCGAAAGAAGGTCACAGGCAAGGCCAGAATAGGTTCCCGCAGCTTGGCCCAGTTCTCTCCTTCAGGTGGGGTAGGTGCCGTGTGCCCTTCCGGTGAGAGAGGGCAGTCAGCAAGGCTGAAGCGGGGTTCCGTGGCTTGGCCCAACTCATTCCTCCAGGCTGGCAGCTTCGGTGTGCACCAGCAAGTCAGCTTCTATTGGTCACTTTAAACAAAAACCAAGAGGAAAGAAATAATATGGTGTAATTCTGGCCAGTGATAAAGCTCAGTGGCACAGCATCTGCCTAGCAAGTATGAGGTCATAATTCCTGGTACAAAAAAAAAAAAAAAAAAGAAAGAAAGAAAAGAAGAGAGAAAAGAAAGGAAAAGACAAAAGAAACAAAAAGAAAGAAAAGGAAAGGTAAGGTGGGGGGAGAGAGAGAGTAGAAAGAAAACATAATTCTAGCTTAGTTTGAGAAGTAAATTTATATTTCCCTGGTTCTTTTCCTCAAAGTGGTAATAACTCTTTTCCTCAAAGTCAAAATATGAATCCTTTGTAAAATCAGCATAATTAGCTGAAAATTATCCATTTTTCTCTAGATTTAAATTTTTGAGTTTATTCAGTTTGAAGTTTTCTCAGCTTTGGATATCTTTAGGGTTTTTAATGTGTTTAACCAAAAGTGGAAAGTGTTCAGCTATTATTTATTCAAACAATTTTTCAGTTTCATCTCCTTTATCCTTTTTTTTTCAAAGTTCTGTTGACATGTTAGTGACTCAAAATTCCCTAAGTTATTGTTGTTCACAAGTGTTTATTCTCCAAGTTGTTCAGATTTGAAGAGTTTCTCTTCTCTCTTCAAATTCATTTTGATATCAAGTCCACTCAGTGAGTTTTTGGTTTTGGCGTTTTTTTCCCAGTTCAGAAGCAAGACTAGATAAGCACTCTACTACTGAGCCACATTTCCAACCCAGTCCTTCTTTAGATATTCTGTTTCGTTACTAAGACTTTATGTTTGCCCTTTGTTTAAAGTGTGCTCATGATTTCTTAAATAATCAGCAACTGATTGATATTACATATTCAAATATCTGTCCATAGTTTAGCACACTTTTTATTAATTGTTAAGGGAAAAGTATAGTTGAGAGGAATGTTTTATTACTTGATCTTGCCTTTGATTACTGGAAAATAAACTGCCATAAGCCAATATTACATTGGTTCTCCAACAACATACAGTTTTTAGTGAAAAATTTTTTTAGTGATATTTGTATTTTGTGATTCTTTTTGTTAATAGTAACTGGAAATGAAGCTCCAGAGACTGTGACTAATTCATCTCTTTTGGACCATCCTAGTCAAATGATTGAGTCATCTTCCTAAAGTATTTTTTAGGACAGGTTTTATTTGGTTGTTGATCATCTTGTGATGCAAATTTTTCCTATTCTAGATTTAAATTCTGAAGTTATTTTCCTTTTTTAACATGTGGACAATTAATGTATTTAAAGAATTAAAATTAAATGAAAAGTGTAAGAAATGCATATTACTCATAATTTCACTATGAGATAACCATCTTAATATTTTATGTACCACGAAATATTTAGTATATTTCATTTCAGTCTTATTTGTTTAAACAGATTCATGTATTATTCCTTTTTTAAAAATAAAATTAGATCATACAATATAATGCCTTTTGCAGTTTATGTCATGAATATTTCCTTGTGTTGAATAGTATTAGAAAATAAAATTTTTAATAGTTATGTAATACTCTTTGAATAGATATTTCAGATTACTTAGCAAGCCTTGTGAATCAGAATTTAACTTTTTTAATCCTTTTTTTGTTGTTGTTGCTGTTCATTTCCATGCTAAATACATACAGGTGCTTAGCTCTACCACTGAGCTACATCCCCCATATTCCCCCCTTTTTTTTCTTAAAACTTATTTCATGTCACCTTTTAATTGTTCACAGTGTATGGTCTACTTTTCTTTGATTTTTTAAAGTTTAACAGTGAGTGTCCAGAACTCAACATGATGCTCTAATATTGTTCTAACTAGCACAGATTATAATTCAGTGATTTCTTATAAAGGAGTTAAGCCAAACTTTTCCTTTGATACTTAGCACCTTTTGAATATGGCAAGTTTTTTTTCTATATTTTTGTTTTCTCATTTGTAAAGATTATAGTGAATAATTATGAAGATAACTACTTCAAATTCACTTGATATAACTAAAGTAGTGAAGTAAAACTACTTTGCACTTTATAAAATAGTTTAGTGTTGGTGGTGATAGTAGTAGCAGAAGTTATAAGAAGCAACAATACTGTCAATACTAGTAGTATTGAGTTTGAAACACATTCTCAGTTTTTTCCACATTGTTAAATTGTTCATTTATTTCTGACTTCTTTTGTATGCATGTGTGTGTTTCTATAATTTGGTGGTTTTCTCAATCTTTTCTTTGTTCTACTTTTGGACCTGTAACTTTGAACAGACCTTTTGAATCGTGTTTTTTAGTATGTCTAGTTATGGTGAGTTTTATTTTGCCTAACATAATAAACAACTTAATTAAAATTGTATGGTTGAAAATTTGGTGATTGTATTTCAGTGTCTTTCAGATTATTAAATATACATATAAACACAAAGTCAAAAAGACAATAGGGTTAGCATCTCCATATCCTAATCTTTAATTTTTTATGCATTTAGTTTTTTAGGACCATACTGGTAAGAATGTAAAGGAAAATTGCAGTTTCAATTGTGAAAATACTTGTCTGTATCCTTATTTGTTATATTCATGTTTTTGGTCATAACAATTGAGCTAAAAATGTACATTCAAATTATGTTATCCATGGCTAAAGAGGTCAATAAAAAAAACTTTGCAAACCCTGTCAGTGATTATGTTTTGTCTTAAGTGTAACTCTGTAATAATATTGAAAGATTTAAACAGGAAGGTACCATTGGTTAATTTATATTTTTAACAGTAATTGCTCTGTGAAGAATGAATTTGAGTGAGGAGGGATGCAGTACTTAGGTAAATTTGTAATCAAAATCCATGAGTAATCTTACCAGCAACTGATAGAGCAGCAACTGGAAAGGATCTGGTAATAGTTTAGACTTTGTAGGCCTTAAGGTTTGTCACACCACTGTATTCTGCAGTTGTGGTGAAAAACTGATAACTTTATTTACAAAAGTAGGCCTGTGTTTGTTCATTTACAGTAGTTGAGGCCAAGTAACATAAGAGAAAAAAGTAGGAAAGATTTATTTTGACTTGTGGTTTCAGAGAATCACTTGGCTGTTCTGCTTCTAGACTTTGGTGAGGTTAAAACATGTCAGAAGAGTTTGAAAAGAAAAGCTGCTCACCTCACAGCCTGGAAACAATACAAGAAAAGGATCCAAGAGGGGAGCAGTAACTCCAGTGCTATACACTTATGACCTACTACCTTCAAGTAGGCTCCATCTCCTAAAAATCTATTACTTGCCAATAATCCTAGGAATTACGATCTCATCAATAGATTAATATACTGTTGAAGTTAGAGCCCTCATGATCAATTCAGTTCCTCAGATTCCACCAGCTGGCAATCAGGCCTTCAAGGCAATGAGGCTTTGGGAGAACATTTTTGAATCCCAACCATAACACTACCCATAGGATAAGTTTGTTGACTCTTTTGTCTAGGGGAAAGCTGCTACTCAAAAAGGTGGATAGCTATGAAGATGATGAAAGTGAGTCAATGTACAATTTATGGGGGAAGTAAAAATTGACATAATTTGGAGATCAGTTGGATAAGATGGTCTGGAGGATACACATGCTCATGCTTATCTCCTCTATCAGACTTCAAGTCCATACCTCACAAATGGAGGTAATATCTTGATTTCCCTCCCAGATTAAAAATATCATTTCATATAAACTTTCAATCTGGTTGTGTTTGCAATCTCCCATTTAGATTAGTGCCAACTAAACTGTATCAACAATTCTGTTTACCACCTAGTTGAATTCTGCATCCTTTTTATGGACTTCTTTTCTGTCAGGGTCACAGGTGCTTTTAATTAGATTTTAATTTTTATTTCTTGTTATAGCACTGAAATTATAAAGTAAAGTCATCCAATGACATATTACAGGAATAAATTTAGAAGGCTGTACTGAAGTGAGTGAAATTGTGAAAGGAAAATAGAAACCACAGAAATAAATTTAGAAGGCTATACCAATGTGAGTGAAACTGTGAAAGTGGAAACCAGATATGTGGACATTTTTAATAATTGTAGTTGCAAATGAGAATAGAAAAAAATTAGGCAGCTAAATGAAAATGGAGAGTCAAAAATAAAAGCTTTGTTCTTTCTAATGATATGGGAAAAGTTGAAAAGAATCCAATAGATTGAAATTGCAAAAAGGGAATGGCAATGGAATAATGTCCATTGTAAGCTGTGAAAAGACTGTAGAAAGGTTAAGGAAATGAAGGACACTTCCTGCATTTTGGTAACAAGGAAGAAAGGAGATGCTCATGCCATTAACTTTTAGATTTCGTAAGGGAAAATATTTTTTATTATAGCTTTTAAATTTATCATTTAGTTACTCTCAACCTGCCCCAGGTGGGTTCCTAATTATTAATGTGAGTAGAGGCAATCACTTTATATTTGTCTTACTTTGTTCCTTTTCACTTTTAAAGTCTACTCTTTGTAAAAAGAAAATGAAGATGGAAACAAGAACTGAGCACCCACAAGGAAATCGAAAAGGGAATAGTAGATAGATAATACATTGCATAATTTATTTCCTCCTCTAAAAGGTCATTGACTACACCTGTCAGTATGTGGATATTTGATATGCAGAGTGAGGAAGATGTACTTTGCAGCAAATAGGAATTAGTTTGAAGATAACTTGCATGAAGGCTTAAAATTATAAATTAAAGACTGGAGAACAGTGAATGTGACTCCTACTTTGAAGGGAAGCTCTCAGATTTTGAAGTTACAGTAAATAGGATTGGATAGATGGTCATGTCAGTAAGTACATACTGAAATGAGAAAATATCCACTAAACCAGTTGTTTGAGCAGTTTGCGAACCTTTTTCAAACAAAATTTCACTTAGAATTCTAATACTTAAAAAAAAAAAGCTTCGATGAAACCAAGTGAGCCAGAGCCCCTGTTCCGAAGTGCTTAAAGGTAGCTGAAGACTTGGTGGAATATTTTTAAGGATAATTTCTAACAATAACAAACTATTAAAAACTTTTGTTTTTATTGGTTTAACTGTCATTAATATATGCATATGTTAAACATTGAGGAGGCACAATAGATATCTAGTGAGAAATAACTCCATTTCTGAATCCAGGTCTCTAGTCTCTTTGCTTAATATAGTAAAAATAGTTATCATTTTCTTTATGTATTTTTTCCAGAAATACTCAATGAATATACAAGTATTAAATGGATCCTTCTCTCTCTTCTTTAGTCACAAATAAGATCTCGCTGCTTTCATTTTTCCTCACTTTGCTATTTTCACTTAACATATTAGCTAATATAGACGTACATGATTCTTTTTAACAAGTACATAATATTTTAAACAAGTAATGTAGTAAAAATTTAAAAATCTAATAGCAATTCCTTTTGAATGAAAATATTTTTCTTTTACAGTTATATTACAGTAGATATCCTTTAAATATATCTTTACCTATGTATGTGAGTATATAATCTACCTTAATTTCTTCAAAGGCTTTTGAGCTGAAAAATGTAATATAAAGAAACCTAATGTTAGGGCATGAGAGAAAAATTCATTTTTTCTTGGTATTCACAATCTCTAGCCTTTGTTTTTTTCTGTGCATATGTTGTTTTTCGTGTCATGTAAGCTCTGCATCTTCCCCATTAAAGTTTTTATTTTAGCTCATCAGACAGGTGGTTCTTAGATTGTTATTTACTGGGCCTCTTAGTGTACATATATTTTCCATACAGCATCATGATTTCTATTTGATAATTTGCTTTAATTGTTCAGTCTTGTGTATTGCTCACAGTTGCTTTCAGGATTGTTTTAGATATCCAATTAAAGTGTTTGGTTTGTTAAGCCCTTAAATCTTTGGCTTGTTTTTTGGAGCCCCTTGCATTTGTAGGTAAAAGGATCAGTTACCCAGTTAACCATTGTCTGTCTTTTCTTTCTAATCTTTGTATCCTTGTTAGAAATTTCTAAGTCTGATCATTATTTAAATTCATAGATTATACATATCTAGATGTTAAATCCTGCTCAAATCTTGCCTTAATATTCTTGTGTATTTTGTGTATGTTAGGATAACCTCAATCTCACAGATCTCTCACTGCAAAAGAATACTTAATCCTTTGGCTGGAAAAGTATACTCCCTGAATAGATTATTTACTAAGCAGTATGAAAACTGGTGCTTTTCTGTTGGATTATTTTCTCACCATCAGGTCTTTTGAGGTATAAACAAGAAAAGAGTAAGTTTTTAAAAGATTTAACAGAAATCTATAATTTAGCATGACACGTATTTGGAGATAAACTTGTTGCCAAAGAAAGGAAAGACAAGGGAAAAACGAAATCAAATTGTTAAATATTTTTATCAGTGTAAACTTTGTGTTTTTTATTTTGTTTTTGGAGAACTGATAAGGACTTGAGAGCTAGTTTAATTCAGTCGCACCTAGTTTAATTCAGTCGCACCATTTGCAAGGTTAAGAAAGAAGTATTTAGGACAGTCTGAGACTTGCACCAGATCACAGACTAGAGCACAGAGCATATGATTGCCAATTGGCTTCTGTTTCAGTGTATAATTAGCTGACTGTTTGTAGTGGGTATTTAATTTTAGTTAAAATGTTAAAAACTTGACACATTTAGTAATGTGTCAAGTGACAAAGGAAATCAGTTTATTTTTATATATTCATATTTTAAAATCACAGTGTGCTATACTTAATTCCTTAAAATAACTTTCTGAAAACGTACATAGCTAAAAAATTGTATAAATGGAACCATTTTCCTATGATTGTATTCAGAGAATAAGTTTTTCTGCTGTCTAATAAGGTATTTCTGCCTCATCTGCTATTCCTACAACCTCCTGTTTACTACAGAATTTTTTTATTAGTTTTTGAAATTTTTGATTAGTTTTTCTTTACTTACTATCTTGAAATATCATATTTCTAAATGTTTAGTTAACTTTAACGTGCTAGGTGAGTGTCATGACACTATGCTACATCACTCTGTAGCTGTATTTTTAATGCTAAAGTTAGTGAAACTGAAACAAAGGGAGCTGATCGTGTTTACATTTGTTAGCCAACATTTCTTACCCTCCTTATTTGCACCTGTTCAGGTTTATACTTACCAGCTGTCAGTATTTATAAACTATGATTATGCAAGGTAGGAATATTATATATATATGCATTTGAACAAAGTTATCATTAACAATTAATTATTGACTTTTGTAGGACATGAAAGCATCATTCAGGGAAGAAGTTATTTGTGGTCTGTCATTTTCATAAATTCCTAGTTTTGTCTGTTCTCAAGATCGTTACCAGTAAATAATCATTTTAGTAAAATAAGAATGAATTTATGTTACCCAGTATTGGTGCCCATTATGCTGTATGTTAATTGTGCGTTATACATTATCAGTTTTAAGCAGTCTGGACAAAATATAAGATATTAGCCTCTTGGATATATGCTGACACAGAAGATACATTGATTATAATTTTTATTTTTATTTCAATGACTTTGTGTCATCAAAATCAGTTTGAATCATTTTACTGTTATAGTTGTACATAGAAATAAAACTTAAGGCTTTGATTAGTTAGGTATAGTTTCTGATACTTAGATCAGATTTCTCACTCTTCTCATTACTAATGGTTTGGGCTTGATAATTCTGTGTATTTGAAGGAGTTTCCTCTGTATTGTAAGGTATTTAACAACATCCCAGGATATGCCTACTAAATGCTCTTTTGGTTGTGACAGTCAAATATGACTTCCAAATGTTCTTTAGTAGAGAGGAAGGATGTAACAAGATTACTTGTGGTTTAGAACCACTGCTTTAAATCATGGAAAATATCAGTAATGAATCAAATCATTTATAGCCCCATAATCTTTGACATTTTTCTTGCATTGTTCATACCAATAAATCATTTTTTCATTACATTGTCACCCAAAAGTTTGTATGTAGCTCACAGTTCTTAAGGTAGGGAAGTTCAAGATCAGAAAAGCTAATCATGTGGAGTGGCCTTTTTTAACCACCTCCTCTTCCAAGATTTAATCCATTTCCAAGGAAATAAGAATTTACTTACTCCTGCGCAGTTTAACAAAAGAGGCGTCAGTGCCTGTTTAGACTTAATCATCTCTTTAAAAGCCTCATCTCCCAACATTTCCACACTGAAAAATTAAAACCCCAACATGACTTTCCTTGGGAACATAACATTTTCAAGCCATAGCACTATTTTTGTTCATAATTTACCTTTCTGATGGATGTATAAATTTCTAAATGTATTTCATATTTCTAAAAGTGGGTAAAAAGTTTAAATATGTTTAATTCTTTAAAATAATTATAATACTGAGATTTAACTTTTTTTCCATGTCATAGATATGGAGTCGGGAGAACGGTTGCCATCTTCAACAGCCTCCTCTACTATACCAACTTCATCTTCTACACCCTCTGTGGCCTCAGCAGTTTCAAAAGGCGGCCTTTCTACTGGAGCTTCTTCACTTAGCTCTGCAATCAACCCATGTGGTGAATATACTTTATTAACTAGGTTTTAGAAAGCCATCATTTTAATATTTTGTATTCATACCCTTCATTAAAATGTACTTGTGTCCTCCATGACCTGTTGATTAATGCTTAGGTGAAACATCTGTTCTTTTTGCTTTTTCTGGATTTTACCCTGGAATAGCCCTTGTTAGTTCATGCAGTCCATGCTTATAAAAAATTATCTTTTTGTTTAACCTTTTCAATTAATAAATCAGTAACATGAAACCTTAACAATAATTGGCCAGTGATAGAGTGAAAGCATACAAAGGAGTCCTTGCTGGTAAGGTTAGCTACCAGTGCTATGGATCCTTTGCCCAAAATTAGTTTCTAAGAGTTAAAATAACCATCTCATGGTCCATTATCCTGGTTTACAGATGGATACTAAGACAGATTATGTGTATGTGTACTATATGTATGGATATACTTGATGTAAAATATTATAAAAGTTTACTGTGTGTCTCTTAAATATGAACAAAATTTATGTTGCTATAAAGAATGAAAATTTCTAATATGAAAATATTCCCAGTTTTAATTAATTATGTAAGGTATTGTTAGTATTTGCCTAAGTCATCTTGTGCCTTATTATTGAGGTTTGGTATAATGCATTCTTAAAAAAAAAAAAAAAACTTGAATGAGATAAACACATTCCTGTATTAGTAGGAAGCATTTTAATTTAATTTTTTTATTTTACAGATTATTTTATGTTTATGAAAAATAGAAATAAATAATACTTCACTTTTTAAAAATTATATTTATAATTCTTTACAGATGAAGTTTTAAATATGGAATATTTGCTACAAAACATTAAATTGCCAAATATATATTTTTCTAGTGAATGGAATAAGAAGGATATTATTTTGTCATGGAATGATTTTCTAAAGTGTTCTTGATGGTGAAAAATAGCTAAAATAGTATATATAATTAAAATCAATAACTCCTCTTCTGTACCCTATACAGTTCTCATTGAGAAATTTAATAATTTTGTCCACATTTTGCTTTTGCATAAAATGACGGCTAAACTCCAAGGTCTGTTACTGATGTGCTGTACTCAAAAGTAGTGGTTCCACAATTGGATTTTTATTCCTAAATGATTGCAACACAGTTGTACTTTTGTAATTTTTCTTTCCTTTTTTTTTTTTTTTTGGTAACTCTTCCATCATCAGCTCCTTTAAATCTATTATTGTGATCTGCTGTTTTACTTTGTATTTGTTTCTGAGTCAGCCTTTAACATACATAGTGGTTCTACATAAATGTCTTTTGGCTTTTAATGTTGAAGGAGTTGCAGTAGTGTCCTTGAGTACAGAATCTTGAGATTTCTAGACACCTTTATCTCAATTTTCTGAATTAATGATGCTGGACTGACCTACAAATCTGGTTACTTAACAACTCTTTGTTAGTAATGGTTGGTAGTTACCAAAGAGGTGGGGTATGTTGACTAGCTGAATAATATCAGAAATCTTGTCTACAAAGAATAGTTTTGTTTTGTTTATTTGTTTTATCTTTTTATCTGTACCGGGGATCGAACTCACAACCGCCTGCTTGCAAGGCAGGTGCTTATGCCACTGAGCTAAATCCCCAGCCTACAAAGAGTAGTTTTTTAAAAATCATTTATTTGCTCTTTAAAGGTTATTGACTAAGGTTTTGTATTGAGATGCTTAAATTGATATCTATTTGTTTATTCAGTGTTATTTATTAATATTTTACCTACAATATGAACATTTTTCACTTCCTAGTTAAGAAAAAAAAATTTTTTTATGTTTCTTTTTTAAAAAATTTTTTTGAAGAGAATAAAACCAAATGAGAAAAAAACAAAATCAGGTCAGTCAAAACAAAAGGATGGACATGGTATATGACTTCAACCCAAAATGCAAGGTGGTCTAATATGGCTACCATGATGTCTTGTTATCTTCAATAGAATTGCCCATATCCTCAGACATAATGAAATTGAACATAGTAGTACAGAACAAAATCAATTAGAACAAAACATTGGAGATATTAGAGATATTATAGGACTTCAAAAGAGGTAATTGTCAAACCACAATGGGTATCCTAGTGAATCTTCTTGTTTTCAGAATAGTTGCCTATACTTTCAGATTTGATACTGTCAAACATGACAGATTCGAATAAAAGCAGTCAAGACAGTGATCAAACAAAATAGATTCAGATAAAATCAGTCAGAACAAAACCATGAAAGCAATGCAAGGCTTCATATTAAGTTAACAGGAAATTAAAAATGGTTACCATAGTATATCCTGCTATTTTGGAATAGCTGTCCATGCCATCAAATATAGTACAAGTAGACAAACTGGAACAGAATATATCTAAACTAAACAGAGTGATAAAAACAGTATGGCTTTCAAATCAAGATGCAAGATTAACAATGTCCACTGCCTTCCCTTTTTAGACAATTCCTCCTCTTTCACTTTCACAGGGTGCATTGTACATTTTGTATGCCACTAACTCCTTTAGTTTTTAGATCAGGGAGTTAACCCACTATTTACCTAAGTGGTTCTATACTGTTTTATCCCTGAGCTTGATCTCAAGTTATATCCATTTACCTACAAGAGCCATAAGATTTTCCTTGCTTATAGCTGAGTAGTCCTCTGTTGTATAAAAGTATTATGTCTTTCCAACCAATCTGTACCTGAAGGGTGAGCAACCCTGACTTTTTCCTAGTTCCCTGTCACATAGAGCATTATTTTCTCATCTTGGCCTTTCGGTTCTTAAACTCTCTTTCAGGTTAATTATATTTCTTATGTAGAGCATCTTGATGAACCCTATCTCCTGATTCACTCTGCCTATGTTTCTTTTTATTAGTATATTGAGACCATCCATGTTAGAGATTATGGCCAACCTTCTCTGCCTCATCTCTGCAGTGAATTTTTCTGTCTTTGGTTATCTACTTTTCCCTTTCATTCCAGTGTCTGCCCTGTTCAGTGAGCCTCCTCTGCTGCTGTTCCTGAAGCCATGGTCTTTTTTCTCTCTCTCTAGAATGTCCTTCAGTATGCTTGAGTTGGTGGTCATGAACTCCCCCAGTTCCTCTTTGTTATGGAAGAATCTTATTTTTCCATTAATTTTAAGAGATAGTTTTTCAGGGTACATCAATTTGGGTTACAGGTTATTTTCTTTTAGGGCTTGGAATACTTACCCCAAGCTCTTCTTGATTTGATGGTTTGTGTTGAGAAGTCTGTCATGATTCTGATGGGTTTTCCTTTATAGGTGATTTGTTTCTTTTCTCTGACAGCTTTAAATATTCTGTTCTTATGTTGAATTTCTGGGATCTTGATTATTATATGTCTGGGTGCAGTTCTATTTTGGTTATAGCTGGCTGGAGTTCTGTATGCCTCATATATCTGAATATCATTTCCTTTTCCTATGCTTGGGAAGTTTAGTTTTCTTTAGTTATTTCTGTAAATAGCCTTTGTATTTCATTTGTGTTTACCCCTGCTTCTTCACTCACATTTTTATTCTTAAGGTACAGATCCTCTTGTCATCTTTTAGCCTTTGTATTGTTACTTCCTGGTCCCTTGTTATTTTCGAGAGATCTTTGCTTTCGTGATCACTTCGTGATCAGTTGCAAAGCTGTCTCTAAGGTTTGATAATCTGCCTTTAGTTTCTTTCAAGCAGTTTTTCCAGCCTTCAATGGAGTTTTTAATTTCCTGGTAATCTCTTTGAATCTGTTTCGCATATTCTAAGTTATTTTATATTCTTCATCAATGATTTCTGTACTTTTTGTCTGATCCTCCATTCTTCTGTGTCTTCTTGAGAGGTGCTTAGCATTTCTTTTATTATTTTTTTATATCTTCCTTTACTTATATTAGTATTTCTGTTTTGAGTTCTTTTATAATGTCACAAAGATTTTTTTTTATGTCAGATGCTGCTTCTTCAGAAACTGCAGGTGTGCCACCTCCAGTCTCTTCTGTGTTTGCCTCTCCTGGGCCAGTACTGTTTGGATTGCAGGCTGGAACTTTCCTTTTGTTTCTTCTTGTCATGTTTCTGGTTTCTTCCAGACAAGTAGATAGTGGGAGTCCCAAAATTTTTTTTTTATTTTAAATTCACAGAGTTAGCTGTGTTTCATGTTTAAAATAAAGTCTCTGTTCCCTTTTGACATGTTTGCTACTTAGGAAAATGGTCAATAGGCCTGCATAATCCAACATGGTACTTTCTATCTTGATTGATTGTTTTTGGCCTGTACATTGTCTGATATTTTTCGCCATGTTAAAATAGTCATAAAGTGATAATAGTCCAACATATCTATCTTAAACAATTTGATTTCAGAGTTTTTTTTTTTTTTTTTTTGGTGTATAGAAACAACAAAAACAGTTTTCATCTTTACAATGCCAAAATCTCAATAGTTCTTCCGTAGGACCTTTGAGTTCATGCTGTTATTTTAAGCAGTTATTTTATTTAGAGAAAGTTACTTTTTTTAATCATCTTTATTAATGATATGGCTGCATGTAGAAATTTGTCTTAAGGTATAAAGGATGTAATTTAGGCTTCTTTTCAAACTTTAAATGATCAATTCTTTTCCATTGAATATAATACCTTGTCAAAATGAGATTATACCTACTTAGGAGTTCCCCGTTGCTGGTAGATGACATAAGACTCTTGGATCAGAGCTTTTGTTGACAATGGAGCAGCCACGCACAGTGGATCATGTTGGCTTTGATCCTCTGTGTCCAAGTCCCTCATAGGTAATGTAGGTACAGTGATGCAGTGGGTTTCTGTCATAACAGAGGAACACCGAACTTGGTGACTCTTTTGCTTTTAACATAAATGACTTGTTTCTATACATCAAAAAAATCACTTTTGGGGGTAAGATGTTACATCATCCTTTAAGGTTGCCTACTGTGAAGGCATCCCTGAGAAGTAGCCTAGTTACTGTATTTAAAGCCTTGCTATTCTTGGCATCTAGCAATAACATGCACAGATTCTCGGAAGATTACCTTTCACCACACCCCTTTAGTGTCATTACAGTGACT